ATCTTCTGGCGAACACTTACATACAATTCAAGCAGAAATAAAATCCCAGGAGATTGAGATGCAGATGTACCAACAGCAGTATGAGTTCACAGCCAATGCTGTGACGTCCAACTGTGAGAGGGACATGTATGCCGTCTATGAGTCGGTTGGTGAGACGTCTACAGACAACAGAGACACGGACAACAGACCAGCGATGGGAAGGGTTGTATTCACACACGACATGGACAACAGACCAGCGCCAGGAAGAGTTGTATTCACACACGACATGGACAAGCTGATTGAAGCAGTGGAAGAGCTACAGCTGGGGAAGGTTGCTGTTGTCCGTGGTGTGAGTGACCGCCAGTCTACCCCTGTTCTACATCACACTATTGACTGTGAGGCGGACGGGGATAAGGAGGATCCGTGCTTGTGTGACGTCACAGTGTTAACTGTTGATGGTATAAATGTAACAGTAGTTGCAGATTACAATAACAACAGCCTCAAAACATATTACACATCAAAACCAAACCCGCATGTTAATCAGCTACTGCTTTCTAATTTGCCGTGCCAAATAGCAAAGTTAAGTGAGAGTCAGGTAGCTGTCAGTGTTCCATGGAGTAAGCAAATAGTTACAGTGAATGTTACCCCAGAGCCTGTATTGCTGTCAACTATCAAAACAAGCAAGGAGTACTACGCCCTGGCCTATCTGAGTCCTTCACAGCTGGTGGCAGGTACATCTGGACAGTCTCACTCTGTTGACATACTGGACATGACAGGGAAGATACTGAAGTCTATCAACACGGGTGTCGTAAGGAATCCAGACTATATCCATGTAACCAGTAATAACAACTTGATAGTCAGTGAACGAGGAGTCAGCTACCTTGTATCTGTGACCAGTGAAGGAGAAGCTGTTTTCACCTACACTCCCACAGTAGACAGAACTTTGACAAGGCTTTGGGGCATCACAACAACCAGCACAGGAGATATCCTGCTTGTCTCCTACAAGGTGATTCAGCTGACAGAGTCTGGGCAGTTTGTCAGAGATGTCCTCACACAACAGGATGATCTGGTATATCCTCGTGGTATCTGTCTTGATGGGGACGAGTTTCTGTATGTTACATGTGACCATTATGTGAAAGTATTCACATTTGTACAATCCGTACATAATCAAATAACATAAAACAATTCCTGAATCAGTCCAAGTCCTGGTCTTGCTCGTTGCTGATTTCAAAGGTAATTCACAAAGTTCACTCAATGATCAGCTGATCCCAAGAAGCCCAATCTCACAGCATTACACCTGAGATCACGTGACATGAGTCAGCTGACCTAGAACAGTGATATTATTTCTTGTTTTATATACCGTATGTTGTCAGTGAATTCCTTAACCTGTTGAATTGTTAATCATGATTGAATTCTGTTTGTAGTTTTATGTATACAGATACATTTGTTAAGTTTGTACTCGTACGTCTTCATTGACCTTCTCGCAGAAACGTCCAGCAGTTCATAACATAGACTTTCTGTCGGCAAGAGTGGTGTAAACTTATTACGTACGATCATTGTTATTTAAAGTTTGTGATAATGCTACGGCCGTGTTAGTGATGGAAGCTCCCGTAAAATATGAAAATACAAACCAACGAAAAGAAGCTCTCGCTGTCAAAATATATCCAAGCGTTTCAGAGCCGTTATCGCTCGTGTTGTGTTGAAGGAAAACGGGGCTTTAAAACCCAGAAATTAAAGGGGATGCGATGCCATAGTTTAATCACTTACTCTCATCATTTGTTAGATATTGCCTATATACTTGTATATATGGAAGAAACTATAGAAAGAATTGTAAGGAAATCAGCAGCGAATCCATTGATAAGTGTATATCACTGAAGATCTTTATACAATGAATTACTGCAATTTAAAGGTCTAAAGTTGAAAACTGTAAGGACCTCTTTGATAAATTTTAAATTATCATACATGGTCTGTCAGCTAAATACACGGTTTGGTTAAAAGTCGCCATCCTACGTAACGTTTAAAGGTTTTCTTCCAACATGAAGCCGACACATGGTGATATAACTGATATATTCATAGCAGCTTTAACATCCAACCCTATATAATTACTTAACATAGTGTCAAATTTCAGAAATACAGCGTCGTTTGGTAAACAGATGTCAGAATTCCTGATGGAATTGAGCCTTGTCTTATTAACAGGTACAACTTCAAATACTAAAGCATTAAACACATATCCTCACAATCTGTTGTTTCTCCTTCATTTAGCGCCCGCCAGCGTTGTCTAGTGGTAGAGCGACCGTCCGGAGAGCGGAAGGTCCGTGGTTCGATCCCCGGTCGCGTTATACCGAACGACATTGAAAAGATGGTATATGTTACCACAGGCGTTAGGGGTTAAAATAAGGGAATGTCGTCTCGGAGTCAGTATACTATGTATGAGTGGGGTATTGGGGTATTCATGTTAAACTTTGGCATGATATCTATAGTTCAGATAAGTAGAAACAGAAACGCACACACACACACACGCGCGCGCGCACACACGCACACGCACACACACACACACACACACACACACACACACACACACACACACACGTGCAACCATTTCGCTATATAAATGCAATTATTTTGTACGCGATGTTAAACCCCATTTCGCCTCACCTCACACTGTTAATACTGTACTTTGTAATATGTCATTAGGAAATTATGAAGAATAGTGCTTCGTCACTAAAGCTCATTTGGATAATTAATCAACAGTATAAAATGTATAACAGCCACGTGAACTTTACAAAACTTGTAAGCATTGATATTCAAATATGTCCTGCTAATATTGAGAAAGAAGGATCAAATTTGAACACTTTTTTATCTCCAACACTGCAATATTGTTTAACATGATGCAAATGAAGAAAACTAACATTTACGCTACACAAAGTTTCAATTCTGTATCTGCCTTCTGGGTAGATTTATTTTCATACGTCATACAATTACTCCCACCCAATTGTCTCATAAATACTAAACGTTCCATTTTGGAGCCTTTTAGTAAATAAAAAACAATATTGGCAGGCATCGACTGAATATCAGAATATTTCCGTCTGCCAAATCTGAGACAAATGATCATAGGCCACAATGTTACAGCATATACAGGTATGGGACCAGTCCCATTTACGCCATTCCTCTTATGTGACACCCTGATACTATTTGATAGTGATTCATAAACACATGCTCATGATATAGTCGGAATCGTACACTCGACTTTGTAGAGATTTCTATTGGATGTGGAAAGAGTTTTGTCGCTTTTTTTTACTTAATATAGAAACCAAAGTTAAGACATCTTTTACGCTGAATAGTGAGTTAGTGAGTTGGGTTTAACGCCGCTTTTAACAGTATTCCTGTCATCTCGCGGCGTGTCAGCTTAATATCGGAGGAAAGCCCGAAGTGATGCAGGTCTCAGACGTTTACCACTTCGGTGAAACCCACGAGCACGGGTATGGTGCTGACAAACCTAGAAACATAATCGGGGCGAACGGGGATTCAAACCCACAAGCATAGGTTTCTGGCATGCTCAAGGGACGCAACCCTGCACCGCTAATCGCGGCGCCTTAGACGACTGGGCAACCCGTGCGCTCTTACACTGAATAACATAATTCCAGCTTGAATCTTTTCTTCAACGCAGTGGTTGTGCGTGGCGCTAAAAGTATTTTGCATTATTATGTACAGATTAACAAAGATAAATGGAGCAAAGAGGGTTTAGGTGATCCTGACACATTCATGCTGGTTGGGTTAATCATCGTCTCAGAGCCTTTGCCCCTTCTTCACGGGACTTCTCCCAGGAAGCGCTGCTAGTCGAACCCTACCAGAACGTTTCCGAGAATGTGCCCCAACACGGCATCCTTCTGCATTACCAGATCGTCAGAAGGGATGTATTGCTGGCAGTAAACCCTGGTACTCTCACAATGTTAGTCAACAGATTGGGAGGTATCAAACCTGAGGCACCGAGAAAAGTAGGGAGTCGAACAACTTGATATTTGGGATGCAAAGCGAGGCCAGCATATTTGTCATGTTTTTCCGGAATCTGGTCAATCACATTTGTGTCAAAAGGGACAGAAATTGCAATGATATAAAGGATTTCATTGGATTTGTTTGTTGGCCTCGATAGGTTTGAGGCTGTATACGGATCTATTCCAAAGAATGTTGTATGAAATCTTTTCCATGGATTATTATTATCATTATTATTATTACTATTTTTTATTTATTTATTATTAGTTTTATCTTTAAAAGAGTTAATATCGTATTCAAAATACAATGTCATTGTGTGAATAATCAGCAACGGAAATTGACGTCATTATGTGTTTAGAGTTGGGGACGGGTAGAAACAGAATTCAGTATTGAAGGGTTTTGATTGGATTGGTTTAAAGGTGTAACATCTGGTTTGCATCTCTTTATTTGGCATTTGTGTTCTTGCTTCACCTGAACTACAACGTCGTATGATAATGAAAAAGGTTATGAACGCCGCTAGAATGCGTTTTGTAATACGATAGTTACTTGAAGCAGCGAAACTAGTGTATCCAGTTCCGATCTGGATCCCGCCAAATGCTGGTCGATATGACCTTGGTCCCCGTGTTGGCAGATTGATGACTATTTCAGACCCTCGTATGAATCTCTTTTATCACTTCAATTAATTTATACGAGCATATTGCAAATATTCCAGAACCTTGAGGCTTAATTTTATTTGCATATTGACCTTCAGAAATATTTGCTCAACATGCTGAATTATCGGTTAAAAGTATGACACATCCTAACCTCTCAAATTTAGATAAAGTGTACAAAATTGAACCTGCACATTTATTATCACTACACTATAGCATAAGCTTACAGCCGCCGTGATGGATGCACCTGTTCGGACAAGGACACTTAAATGTTTTTTGCTGCTGCTGTGTATTGAAATTGTGGCAATTGTATTTTTCACATACCACACGTTTGTTGGCTGGTCTTTCTTGAAGTCAAGGTTTTCAGAACTACCATTGAACATGCACCAAGATTTGGAAGGAAAGTTCGGCAACGTGCCACAAAGACGTGGACACACTAAGACTCGCTACGTCACAGATCTGAACACTAAGATCCTCCTAGAAAACAGGACATTGTGTCCGTCTGACAGCCAGCTTTCTGTTTTGTTCATGGTCCACTCTGCCTTGACTAACTGGAAACGACGCGATACCATGAGAACAATACTGGCCCTCGCAAACAGTTCTCTGTACACAAACTACTCGATACGTGTTCTGTTCCTGCTGGGAAGAACCAAATATGCTCATGTGATGGAAATGACGGTGATTCGACAAGAATTTGACAAGTATGGCGACATATTACAGGGGAACTTCCTAGATAGCTATAGAAACTTGACTTACAAAGGATCAATGGGTATGAAATGGGTGAGTCTGCATTGTGCCAATGTGAAATACGTCATCAAACTTGACGATGACGTATATGTAGATTTATACAACGTCTTTCATCGTATATACCACGACTACTCCAGCTACACGCGATTAGTATTGTGTAACAAGATGCCCGCGAACAGCGTGCCCGTAGATCGGCGAGGACATTGGACAATAGACCAGAATGTATTTCGCCATTACAGGTCGTACCCATGGTCGTTCTGCAGTGGTTTTGCTGTGGTGTTGTCAGGGGCCATGATGCCTATACTCCACAAGGCTGCTCAGATGGTGCCTTTCTTCTGGGTGGATGATGCATTTCTGTTTGGGATACTCCGCAGTGGTATTGACCATCATTTTGAAGAGTTCGCCAAGTTCAACTTCTCTCAGCTTCACAAGACAAAGTTTGTGCAATGTTTTAACCAATCATCGTGTGATTATGTGTTTGGTCTGGCCGCTCGTTCTGTTTCAAAGACATTGCACTACCTGCGGTATATGAACCTGGACTTTGGGACAAGCCTCAAACTCACACAGGATCTGGTACGGCAGGTTGGTGCGCAACTATGATTATCACATGTCTATTATTAAATGGTATTTTAGAAAATGACCAATGTTGTTGTCATTAACGTTTTCACTTTACATTGAATTGATTCGGCGATTCTATTTAAAGGAGATAGGTCCCAAGCATCTTATGCTGGTCGTGAGAGGGGAGTTGATGGTTCGTTTTCGTTGGTCGCGGAGAAAAGTGAGTTTGAGAATTAACAATGCTTTGAACTTTATTCCAATTACATCACGACGCGTCATGATCAGCTAAATGCGGGGAGGAAATCCGAAGTGATGCAGGTCTCAGACCTTTACCACATTGGTGAGACGAACACGGGTATGGTGCTGACAAACCTAGAAATATAATCGAAGCGGATCGGGATTCGAGCACAGCGAGATGTGGCGCCTTAGACGCCTTAGTGTGTGATTCCAGAACTTGTTCTCTGGGCTGAATCAATAACGATGTGATCATGACTTTAAGGTTAACTCTGTATTCTTACAATCGTCAACAAGTATGAAATACAAATAACTTATGTCTATCACAAACCAGCCACTGACCACTAAAGCCACCATTTGTTCTAAAGTGTCAATGAGAAAGTGGGATGGTGTTGCTATTACAATATCACTCGGAGCAGTGGTTATCACCAGATAAAGTGGGGTTTGTTTCGACGGAATTAGAAAAATATAAAATATGATAACGCCACCATTCGACCATTAGATTGATAAGGAGGAAATGCATGTAATACATGAGTTTTGCTCATTGAAAGGAAACTTTCAGTGATTGGAACTCAACATTTGTTAATGGAAATAAAAAAAGTCACATTTCCAAAATTTCTAAATAGCAAAAGGCAATAATTCCATTTCTCAAAATGAATGCTCATGGCGCTACTATATTATTAAGTCTTTGAATCAGTTTGCATTCAGATTTTAAAGTATACAGCCCAAGCTACCGAATGAGTCACATTTCCATCTCATCCCACCGGGTACCCATTCTCTGCTGGGTGGACAGAGACATATTTAGAACAAATCCTTTAGTTTCACTATGGGCCAGGAACGAATCCATGGACACACTCAGGAGTCAAGCTACCATACACAATCACCCATCCAGCACCTCTCCGCAGCCAACGCTGCTTAACTTCCCCTGATTTGTGGCATTTTTGCACTGTGCATTACCACGTGTCATTCCATTTTTAAGCTCAATTTTACAACGTTGTATTGAGCAAATTCCTCCAAGGTCGATACTGAACACATGTTCCCCGCTTCAAGCAGTTGCTATTGCCTTGGTTTACTGATAACTCGATACCAACCCAGCGGCATGTTGCATGCATTAATGTGTACCTAGAAAACAACATTGATCCTAGGCGTGATGTTCCCAGAACTGAGGTAGGGAGATTTATTTATTCCCTTTTTGTGACAAATTATGTGGTAACTTAGGTATGAATTATGGCAAACGCATCTCTTCATCGTTTATTACAAGTTGTTCAACACTGAGGAGGTACAGAACAGCTGATAATAAACGCAAGGGATCCTGCAACCGCAGCTTCAGGGTAACCCAAGTCGGGGGTTGAAGGGTAAATAACTACCTGCAGTAAACTACGTTTATAACGAACATCCTTATAACGAACTGACGGATATAACGGGCTGTTTTTGGTTCCCGTCCATTTGTTGTATGTATGCTGTATATACATGTATGCTTATAACGAACTACGGTTATAACGAATAAAAATAAGTGGTCCCTTTGAGTTCGTTATAGCCGTAGTTTTATTGTAATTATCAAAAGTAATTTGTTCGATGATAATTAAAGAAACGTGGAATCACCATCAGCTCCTGGCTAAGAACTGTAACATAATGCTTTCCCTGACTGCTTGGGTCATTGTGCCCCGCGTATATCAAATAGCTGGCCCCTAAATGGTTATGCTCTTTATGATCTATTTAAAGCATGCCCAAATGATCGAGTTTCTTCTGACGAAGTCTTTATTAATTATGACGCACGTTGTTGGCGGTGTGACAAGAAGTATGCATTCCAAATTTGCCAAATACAGCCGGACATAATGATTCGAGTGGTTTACTCGTGACTGTTGGACAGAGAATCAATACTTATCTTGTACACGCAGAGCCGCTAACGTTGATGTTTGTTGTTTAGCGCCTCACTCAGCAATATTCCATCTCTATGCCCGCGGTCAGTAAATAATCGAATCTGGACCAGATAATCCCGTGTTTGAGGGCATGAGCATCGATCTACGCAGTTGGGATACGATGACATGTTTCAACCAAGAAGGCTTTTGGTCTACCAAAGAAAATCAACAGAGAGCAAAGTACGGAATAGGTACGCACTCTGCAAAGAAATAGCCACACAAATTACACACAAGACACAGTACCCATAGAGTTTGCTTGGTAATGATAAAACCCGCCACATTTACAATGTAGACCGCAACTAACCGATTGCGTGCGCATGATTTACTGTGGTTGGTTCCATTGAACTGCTGGCTTTCCTTGGTAGGCCTGCCATTAGTCGCCTCTCATGACAAGTATGGATAACTGAAGATCCATTCTAACACGGCCAAGGGTCTCCCGGGAAAAAGAGAGCTTAGAAACGAAGGGACACATTTTAGCACTGGTCTTTAGTGCCACATGACAATTGTCTTTGGTTAACAGAAAATTTAAAACAAAACCTACTCACGTTTATAGTTCTCACAATGTGAAAATATGGAACAAATTATCTTACACGGTTCTGAACGTTTGGCCCTGGACACAAAACTGTAACATTTCCTCCACAGAAGGGAAAAAAACCACGAAAATTATAAATTCCGGGAAATCAAAAGGCACAGTTAAGTAGTTGTCTGATAGTCCAGATTTTGCCTTGCAAACACAAGATTTAAATATCAAGAATATTATTTTGCAGTTAAGCTCTGTAAATGAACCATACTCATTTGAACATGTGTCCAACCTGTTGCTTAATGCCTGGTAACGCAAACTATATATATTTCATTTTAATGCACAGCTTGTGAGGTATGATCCATCTTCCCGAAGCAAGAGAGTTGACTGACTATAAAGGTCCAGTTTCCACCCTTGCAGAACTAGGCTGTTATTATGGAGTTACATTTTGGCTGTACTAACGAGTCTATGCATAGTCCAATCAAAATCGCGCACCGAAAATCCGGTTCGTGCAGACGTGTATTGAGCAACTTCCTCCAAGGTCGATACTGAACACATGTTCCCCGCTTCAAGCAGTTGCTATTGCCTTGGTTTACTGATAACTCGATACCAACCCAGCGGCATGTTGCATGCATTAATGTGTACCTAGAAAACAACATTGATCCTAGGCGTGATGTTCCCAGAACTGAGGTAAAGAGATTTATTTATTCCCTTTTTGTGACAAATTATGTGGTAACTTAGGTATGAATTATGGCAAACGCATCTCTTCATCGTTTATTACAAGTTGTTAAACACTGAGGAGGTACAGAACAGCTGATAATAAACGCAAGGGATCCTGCAACCGCAGCTTCAGGGTTACCCAAGTCGGGGGTTGAAGGGTAAATAACTACCTGCAGTAAATTACGTTTATAACGAACATCCTTATAACGAACTGACGGATATAACGGACTGTTTTTGGTTCCCGTCCATTTGTTGTATGTATGCTGTATATACATGTATGCTTATAACGAACTACGGTTATAACGAATTAAAATAAGTGGTCCCTTTGAGTTCGTTATAGCCTAAGTTTTCTGTAATTATCAAAAGTAATTTGTTCGATGATAATTAAAGAAAAGTGGAATCACCATCAGCTCCTGGCTAAGAACTGTAACATAATGCTTTCCCATAATGCTTGGGTCATTGTACCCCGCGTATATCAAATAGCTGGCCCCTAAATGGTTATGGTCTTTATGATCTATTTAAAGCATGCCCAAATGATCGAGTTTCTTCTGACGAAGTCTTTATTAATTATGACGCACGTTGTTGGCGGTGTGACAAGAAGTATGCATTCCAAATTTGCCAAATACAGCCGGCCATAATGATTGGAGTGGTTTACTGTGTGACTGTTGGACAGAGAATCAATACTTATCTTCTACACGCAGAGCCGCTAACGTTGATGTTTGTTGTTTAGCGCCTCACTCAGCAATATTCCATCTCTATGCCCGCGGTCAGTAAATAATCGAATCTGGACCAGATAATCCCGTGTTTGAGGGCATGAGCATCGATCTACGCAGTTGGGATACGATGACATGTTTCAACCAAGAAGGCTTTTGGTCTACCAAAGAAAACCAGCAGAGAGCAAAGTACGGAATAGGTACGCACACTGCAAAGAAATAGCCACACAAATTACACACAAGACACAGTACCCATATAGTTTGCTTGGTAATGATAAAACCCGCCACATTTACAATGTAGACCGCAACTAACCGATTGCGTGCGCATGACTTACTGTGGTTGGTTCCATTGAACTGCTGGCTTTCCTTGGTAGGCCTACCTTTAGTCGCCTCTCATGACAAGTATGGGTAACTGAAGATCCATTCTAACACGGCCAAGGACGCTTACGTTATGATGTATATATTATATTTTAGATTCAATACACACGCATATACATTATTGGCATATTGTGTTTTATGATGACGGATTGATCGACAGAAGGAGCACATTAACATGTACGCAATTAAATAGTAACACATGAACCGGTGTAAAGCGCTTGTCACATGTTAAGCAATGTTGGATGGGTGACCGTGTTCGTCAGCTTGACTCCCAAGTGAGAGAGTCAGCTTAATGTGGGAGGGAAGCCCGAAGTGATGCAGGTCTCAGAAGTTTACCGCGTCGGTGAAACCCACGAGCACGGGTATGGTGCTGCCAACCTAGAAACATAATCAGGGCGAACCGGGATTCGAACCCACAATCATAGGTTTCTGGCGTGCCCAAGGGACGCAACTCTGCACAGCGAATCGCGGGGCCATAGACGACTGGGTCACCCTTGCACCCGCTTGAATCCCGAGAGTCCCACGCTGAAACACATGTTGCATGTGGCGTCGATTCACCCATTAGTAAATGGGTACCCGGTAGGATGAGACTTTAACTATCTATCGTCTCATGGTGAGCTTGGGTTGTATATTCCCCAGGGAGATGAGAATAAATATCGAGTGCACTCTGATTCATTGACCGGGGTAATAATGTAGTGTTATGAGTAGTAGTAGTAGTAGTAGTAGTAGTAGTAGTAATCCATCCGGACATAGGCATCAGTATAATTATAATGTTAAAAAAGGTGAGGGTTTAACGTCGCGTCTAAGATTATTGCACTTCTATTGCGGCGTGCATGCACGTGAGAGAGAGAGAGGGGGGGAGACAGATAGAGATATAGAGAGAGAAAAGATAAGAGAGAGACAGAGAGCGAGAGACTGCTTGTACTAGTCCGGACTGATGCTGATTTTTGTGCTCGCCCACTGAGATACCCTGCTGCACTTTAACATGAATAATTATCCTCTCAGACATAGACTGACTCCGAGCCGACCAGTCCTTGTTTTAGCCCCTTCATCCCGCACCTTCTGCTCTCCGGGCGGACGCTCTACCACTACACCACGGAGTTGGTCTGAGGTTAATAAGAAGAATGTTTGGAAAATGCAACCAAACTAAAACAGTCCCTTCATTGAGGACGACACTGTATGCTTCAGCAGGTTCATAACACTCGTGGAGGCCCAGGTGGCGCAGTCGTCTAAGGCGCCGCGGAGTTGCATCACTCGGACAAGCCAGAAACCTATGATTGTAGGTTCAAGGGTTCGAATCCCGGTTTGCCCCAAATTATATTTCCAATAAACGCCGGCTCCGAAGCAGCGTACAGCACAATAAACGCCGGATCTCTAGTAAGCGCCGGCTTTGTAATTAAGATTTAAATTACTTCTCCTGGGAAAAAAAGAGAGCTTAGAAACGAAGGGACACATTTAAGCACTGGTCTTTAGTGCCTCATGACAATAGTCTTTGCTTAACAGAAAATTTAAAACAAAACCTACTCACGTTTATAGTTCTCACAATGTGAAAATATGGAACAAATTATCTCACACGGTTCTGAACGTTTGGCCCTGGACACAAAACTGTAAAATTTCCTCCACAGAAGGGAAAAAAACACGAAAATTATAAATTCCGGTAAATCAAAAGGCACAGTTAAGTAGTTGCCTGATAGTCCAGATTTTGCCTTGCAAACACAAGATTTAAATATCAAGAATATTATTTTGCAATTAAGCTCTGTAAATGAACATTTGAACATGTCTCCAACCTGTTGCTTAATGCCTGGTAACGCAAACTATATATATTTCATTTTAATGCACAGCTTGTGAGGTATGATCCATCTTCCCGAAGCAAGAGAGTTGACTGACTATAAAGGTCCAGTTTCCACCCTTGCAGAACTAGGCTGGTATTATGGAGTTACATTTTGGCTGGACTAACGAGTCTATACATAGTCCAATCAAAATCGCACACCGAAAATCCGGTTCGTGCAGACTTCGGTCGATTGCAGGATTTGCAAAGCATGTGCACCGTCAACTCGTTATCAGCAGATAATTTCCAAATCTTTTCATGTTTTTTTATCAAGGTTCTCACGTGATTTGATGCATTTCGCGATGTAAGATTCGTTTTATCACACTATAGATCTTGATTATCGATCAGATCGTCCTGACTGGGCGTCACCATTTTGTGTGAAGCAAACGCAACTGAGACGAAAGGTTGAATCTGATTGATCCATAGGAGAGGCTTAGAGGGTACATAACTGGTAATAGCCACTGGTGGCGCTACGATCGAGCCCAGTCATTCCAGCCTATTTCGGCATGGGTGGAAACTGGACTTTTGAAGTCAGTTAACTCTCTTGCCTCGGGAAGATGGGTATGATCCAGGAATGAACTATAAGCTAATTTCCACATAAATCATGTACCCTTGGAAACATAAATAAAGAATACTCAGCAAGGGACACTTGCTTTATTTGCATACACCGTTTCATTATATTAAACAGCTTTTGCTCTCTGTGTGGTGTCAGCACACAAATAGGTCAACTTAGGAGTAAAGGGGAGTAAGAGATCTAAAGTGAAACAAATATTTAAGTGCCGCTACATAACACTACACTACATAATACTTCACACTGTGAAAACGTGTTGCACTTTCCAGTATTTACATGACAACAATACATTATATCTCACACTTCCCATTAATTACATGACACCAATACATTGTATGTCACACTTCACATCATTTACATTATAACAATACATAATATATCACACTGTTGCAATTATGCTGCATTTCACATCATTTAGACGACAACAATACATCATATATCACACTGTGAAAACGTGTTGCACTTCACATTATTTACACGACAACAATACATCATATATCACACTGTGAAAACGTGCTGCACTTCACATTATTTACACGACAACAATACATCATATATCACACTGTGAAAACGTGCTGCACTTCACATTATTTACACGACAACAATACATCATATATCACACTGTGAAAACGTGCTGCACTTCACATTATTTACACGACAACAATACATCATATATCACACAGTGAAAACGTGTTGCACTTCACATTATTTACACAACAATACATCATATATCATACTGTGAAAACGTGTTGCACTTCACATTATTTACACGACAACAATACATCATATATCACACAGTGAAAACGTGTTGCACTTCACATTATTTACACAACAATACATCATATATCACACTGTGAAAACGTGCTGCACTTCACATTATTTACACGACAACAATACATCATATATCACACTGTGAAAACGTGCTGCACTTCACATTATTTACACGACAACAATACATCATATATCACACTGTGAAAACGTGCTGCACTTCACATTATTTACACGACAACAATACATCATATATCACACTGTGAAAACGTGTTGCTCTTCACATTATTTATATGACAACAATACATCATATATCACACTGTGAAAACGTGCTGCACTTCACATTATTTACACGACAACAACACATAATATATCACACTGTCTGAACGTGTCACACATCATCACATCATTTACATGTCACATGTATTGTTTTCTACCGTAAAGGAAACGATTGTTCAACAGTTCAGGAAAGTCTACCCGTTATTTTTTCAGGGGGCACGAGTGGGCCACTCGTCTAAGGCGCCGCGATTCGTTGTGTAGAGTTGCGTCTCTTGGGCACTCCAGAAACCTATGATTGTGGGTTCGAATCCCGGTTCGCCCCGATTATGTTTCTAGGTTTGTCAGCACCATACCCGTGCTCGTGGGTTTCACCGAAGTGGTAAACGTCTGAGACCTGCATCACTTCGGGCTTTCCTCCCACATTAAGCTGACACGCCGCGATATAACTGGAATACTGTTAAAAGCGGCGTTAAACCTAACTCACTCACTCACTCATTATTTTTTTTTTAACGATCGACGCCCTTAATATATATAACACCATCACCATCTTCAACGGCTGCTGAAGCCTCGTACAATACTTTCAGGAATGATCTTTGCAAGAAAATATGTCGCCCTCTCACATATAGTAAAAATTCAAAGCGTCTGTAAAATATTAATTTGTAGTTTTCATAAATTGACTCAACATGTATACAACACGCTACACTTTAAATAAAAAGATAGCTACACACCTTGAACAAATGCATATTAACTATTCAATTACCCATTCAAAGTCACAATTAACCTCGCAAAAGGCTAGCCGCCTCAGACCCAGTAGCGTTGTTGTTGTTGTTGTTGTTGTTGTTGTTGTTGTTTTGGGGATGATATCACCTGTAATGTTTTATCGTTTGTTTTACTGTATTTCCGTTTTTCAAATTTGATTTTGATCAATCAGTTTTTATTAAGTATGCCCTAAAGTATTAAAATATGCAAAGTTCCTATGTTGAGTTTACTAAAGCTTTAACTGAGCTGGTGATCAGGCTTGGTGACTTGTTAGTATGTTTGATTCCGTTAGGAGCCCGACGACATAAGTCGTTGCTCCTAATATCAATCGTCGTCTGATACAGACTATTATTTACAGGTCGCCGTCAAAGTGCTTAAATGTGGCTGAGTGCATCGTTAAACAACAAACAAATAAAACCAAATATGTTCTCATGTTGCATATGGGTTCGAATCTCAGATTTGTTTCCGATCATGTTCTTTGGATTGTTAGCACCATACCCAATCTCGTTGGATTCCAAACATGCTGGAACGTTGGGAAGCCAGTGGTGATAGACCCTGCCCTGATGCCTTGATTCCTTGAAACCCATTTCAGGAGTCCTCGGTCGTGTAAATGCAGGATCATTGCTAAAGGTTACGTTAAACCATACTCACTCAAAACATGACAAATTTAATGCCCTTGGTGTTTTCCTCTCAAGCGGACTGAAACGTTGTCGAAAGGGTGAGTGTGTAACCCAACTCAGTGTCTCATCCGAGTCAGATCGCTGTCCTCGTTAACACACAACGATCTTAATTTACGAATTACTTCTTATATTGTACTGTAGATAGGAATCTGGTTCTGATTTGCTGTATAAAAATTATTCAAATTTGATAGTTCATTTAAAACCTAGTGAACCAGGGGTTTTCAACTGTTGAAATTCCATGATCGATAATATAAGTAACAATTTATTTCTGTATGCACTAAAACATCAATTGACGTTAATAAGAAGTCCAATGCCGCCATATCTAGATCTAAAGTAAACGAACCGCGTGGATGTATAAACAAATGAGAGAAAAATCAAGGTTTTGGTCGAACCGAGTCAACTACTTTCGGCACATACTTTCAATTGGCGCCAAACATCCATACACAAGAACCAACACAAACACGCATTCTATGACGCCTGTGTTGCCACAGGTGTATGTTTTCAGGCGGTTGTGCCTTGCTCGTGTTCCAGACGCTCAGAACCTCCGTCACAGCTGCGGCTGGTTGAAGAGCATGTCGATGGTTGTGTGGTTATCGTGGCTTTATTGTAGAGTTGTTTATAATTTGAAACTTCCTGATCGATATATCAGCGACTGTACAATGCACATATGATGCTTCGTTATGAACGTGACCCATGATTATAACTGTCAGAAGCCTCAGATATATCCATGGGTAAAATAGCAAAACCTTGCGGCGTCATGATCAAGACAACGTCTAGATTCATTTGCATACACATTCGAATGTCAAGACGAGAATACCTAGATCTTTAAACTACTACGGTACTGAGGCTTTCTAGTACATCAGTAGAGCTTCCCCACAAGCTACTCCAAGAGCTCGCCTATTGTTTAGTGTTGCGTCACAGATGTGAGGTGAAATGGGGTTTAACGCTGAGTTCAAGATTATGTAGCTACGTGCATGCACGTGTGTGTAGCTGCTTGAACAAGTCCGGACAAATGCCGATTTATAGCGCTTGCCCACTGAGATACCATATCGCAGTTTAACATGAATTCCCCAACCAGACACAATATACTGACTCCGAGCCGACCTGTCCTTGTTTTAGCCCCTTCATGCCGAAAGACAGGCAGGGTAACAACAAGTACCATCTTTTAACGTCTTTTGGTATGACGCGGCCGGGGATCGAACCCCGGACCTTTCGCTCTCCGGGCGGACGCTCTACCACTAGACCACGGAGGCGGTCGAGGTGAAATAGGGTTTAACGCCGAGTTCAAGATAATTTAGCTACGTGCATGCAGGTGTGTTTGGCTGCTTGTATAAGTCCGGACTAATGCCGATTTATAGTGCTTGCCCACTGAGATACAATTTCGCAGTTTAACATGAATTCCCCACTCAGGCACAATATACTGACTCCGAGCCGACCTGTCCTTGTTTTAGCCCCTTCATGCCGAACGGCAGGCAGGGTAACAACAAGTACCATCCTTTAACAACTTTTGGTATGACGCGGCCGGTGATCGAATACACGACCTTCCGCTCTCCGGGCAGACGCTCTATCCATTTGACCGCGACGGCGGTCCGTGGCGTTAAAGAACGAACGGTCAATTATGAAAGTGTGGACACATACACAAATTCACTTAACTGTTCTCTTTTCAGGTGAACTGAAATGGAAATGTTGCAGCGACACAAGTAAAGCGAATGGTGCATGTCGGAAACATATATCATCAAAGAACTTCGATAGAAGGAAAGTCTGTTCCAAGTCAATGCAAAATTATTAAAATCATGACTACAAAAGAAGCTTGGGGCTCATGAATGAATAGTTGAAGCCGTCAATTATAAACATTGCAAGTGTTTAATGGTGCCGGATAGCCTCTTTAAGACTAACATCATGGTCTCCAAGTACAGAGGATACTTGCTAATTCTTACGCTGATACAAGCTGTTATAACACTCATCTTAATTCAGTTTGCTGTAAAATATTTTAGTTCCACTGTCGACTTGGTGGATGGAATACATACACGATCATGGTTTGAAGAACTGACCCGTCCTCGTCGCTCGTATTCTACAAACAAATACAAAACCTCAAGACAATCAGCCGACCCAAATTTCAAAATTGTTAGCCAAAATCGTGATCTCTGTACATCAAGTGCAAGGGTTCACGCACTGTTTGTCGTCCACACGGCGCCTTCAAACCGGAAGAGGCGAGATGTGATCAGAGATATGTTGACAAATGACGTCATCAACAGGAAGTACACCATACGGATCCTGTTTCTGATTGGATGGCCGGTGACATTTGTGAGACGCACTCAAGGCGACATCAGAGAAGAGACAAAGCAACATGGGGATATTCTCCAGGGCAGGTTCCTCGACACTTACAGAAACCTTACCTACAAAGCTGTGTTCGGCTTCAAATGGATCAGTCGACATTGTAAAAATGTGACCTACGTCATCAAAATGGACGATGACGTGTATGTAGACATGCACAACTTCTTCTACACATTATATCCAAAATTTGAAGAACGACATGCTGTTGTATGTATCGGTAAAAGTTGCACAAGTGTTGAGAGACAAGGACAATGGATGTTGGATGAATATACTTACAGACACTACTCATGCTACCCCGTAAAATACTGCAATGGTTATGCAGTTGTATTTAAAGGTGATATGGTACCGATCTTATACAAGGCTTCTTTAATGGCACCCTTCTTCTGGATCGACGATATTTTTATATATGGAACTTCGCGTAGCTTTCTACGCTATGTTCCCATAACATACGTTCCAACTAGCATGTATTTCCAAACAAACGGCTCCAAGACTTTAGGGTGTTTTAAATATACCAAACCCTGTGATATCATATTCAGCACAAATATCGATGATTTTTTGGAGCTTGAACGGTTTCGGCGTAACTTTCTTAAAAATCAGACAAAGAATCTCTTGTGATCATAATATGCCATACCTTTTGATACATGTTAGTAATAATTCTATTAATAATTTTATTTAATTAAAGTAAGCATATGTTCACTCGCACTAAAAGCGTTAAATCTATTCATAATTTCGGCTACAGGTATGTCAGGTCATGCCGCATGATATAACTGGGATATTGGTGACTGCGGCGCTCGACAACATTCACTCATTCACTGGCATTATCGAAGAGGTAGTGCCTCGTAATGCTGAATAGTAACCGTTGCTGCGGGGCTGTAATAGGGGAGAGCTACTAGTCTAAAGAACACGTGACGTTTTGCTTTTAAATTATGGAAAATAATAATTTAAGTCCTCGTTTTCACATCTTCAGAATCTCAGAAACTGATATTTTGCTGTTAATGTAGCATTGCAATGAGTTTAGATTTTAGTATTCCATTTAGATTGAACTTCCTATTCTTAATATTGAAGAGAAAGTCAATTCATTTAGGAATGCCACCTGTGATTTTGCTGCCTGTAAATATTACTTTCAACTTTGTCTATTACATCCCAGAAACTCTACACTGCATGAAATAGCACATTTCCATGAGTGCCCTCATGATTGGAATAAGGTGTGGATTTTTTTTATCTTATGCCCATAGGCGACATTTCCTGAGGAAAATGATATTAGCATGAGAAACTATGTCTTTATATGCCAAGTGTTAGGAATGTATGCTCATAAAATGATTTAACTCAGTGAATTCTAAGCGATGCTTAAGTGTAACGGAATGAGAAAATTATAAGTGGTCAGTTTTATACAGGTTTGAAATTATTATATATGTTTTCCCTCAGTTAAGTAAGTGAAATATATCTATTTAAGTATTGAGAGTGCTCCCAATACAAATTATAACAGCAGCTGGGCTATCATTACCATGGCCAGCAGCACAGGGTCATGTGCGGGTCAGCGGCTTGTGATTAACGCTTGAGAATGGCCGGTTGGCCACTGAAGCTTAATATTGTGGATGAGGTGCGAATTACTGCAGGCTGACCATATATGTAACGTTAAACGATACATGGCAGTCTGACAGGGAGGGTTAAAGATAGTCGAGACTTTGACCCTGGGACAGCGGCTAGACAGGTTGGCCCTCTTCCACCTCCGAGAGGCTAACTGCATGGATACGATGTAGCAGCATACTATCATAGAATAAACTTTGTGGACCAACAGACGGACTTGTGTTGTCAAAAGCAGAAGTATCCGGTAGAGCACCAACGTCTACCTCGGATATATGTTTATTTCATATTGTACCGCAAGTTGTCACCCACTTCAGTGTTTTATAAGTAGTCTTTCTGCTGTTGGAACATCTAAAAGATGTGCAGCTAAATGATTTTTTTACCCGTAAGAATCTACGTTTCTATTTCCTTTAAACATTCACAAACTGAACACTTCCGTTTGAGCTTAACACCTGAACAAAATAAGTTAAAAATAAAAGAACGTTTGTTATATTGATTGCCTTTATCCAATTTCTTACAATTTGTTCAGGTGTATTCATGTCGCTTATAACCTGGTATCATTAGTGGGCCAAAACATTTTTTAATATATTGTAATTATCTTAACAGACAACATGCAATGGTAGCGTAAGCTACGGTAATATCACAGGCATCTCCCCCGATCCGTCTTGTCCATGTGGAAATCCATTTGAAGATGCTAAACATGTTATACAAGAATGTACATTATTTCAAATTTTCACAACTGATGCCTACTGTAATCATGATTTTTCAGTTGATGACATTTTTATGGTATAAATGCCAAATTAAGCAGTTCTTATGTTCGTTCGCTTGTTATATTACTGAAAACAACCCGAATTGATTTTTCTTTAAATCAAACAATATTATCTTGAAAAGCATCTTGTGAAAGACCTCTTCATCCCCACTGTTTAATCCTTCACCACGTCACAGTTAAAGTGTAAAATGTGATTCACGTAGGCACATTATAAAATGCATAAATATTTTAGTCATATTACAAATTGACTGACAAATCGGTCTATTTATTGGACAGATTGACTCAAAATTATTGAGAAGTTCAAAAAGGTTTACAAAACATCACAGTAGATGAATTTTGCTAGAAGTAGAAGCCAAACAATACAAAATATATATCGACTTTTGTTCTCTGTAAATCCTATCATTTTCAGTCACTGGGTGATTGAATTAAAGATCAAAATGTTCAAGATTCGTCCTCATAATAGAATAAATTGACAGAGTTAAAAATCCTGAAATATGCAGGTGTTTTGAAAATTGCCTGAGAAAATTTCAATCGTTTTTCACATTGACTGTAACATATATCAGTCTCCTTTATTATATCTACAAAATAGTCTTAATACGTAAATAATGTCTTTTGTATTGTTTCAAAAAGCATAACTTTAATTATATGCGCGACTAAAATTTGACTACGTTTCATATGTTGACAAATATCATTGTGGCATGCAAATCATACAGAAATACTTCTCCACATGATTCTTAAATGCAACATCCTTATTATCGATCATGTGCACACATATTTTTTTTTCAGCTGTTATCACAACTGAGATAACACAACTGATGAAAGTACAACTGGACACTTCAAAATTTCTGAGGTTGTTGAAATAAGAGAAATTTGTTTCCGAGATCGATCTAGACGTCCCGAAAGATTCGTTCAAGTATGCTCATTGCCAACCGGTGTGGTATTGCCACATGTTGACTTGACAGTTGACCAGCTTGGAAGGATTAACTCTTCGTTAATGTGCAGGGTGTAAATAAATCATTGTTGTTTGTCTGAGTACAAGGGCACCAACGGTTTATGCTACCGTTTTTGGAACTTAATTTGTGAAAATGTTTGCAAAAAATAATGCACAATATTTTGCCGCATCATTCACATACGAGCAAGAGGACTCGTGAAGCTTCCGGGGTAGAATAGGTCTTCAGCAACTCATGCTTGCCGTAAAAAGTTGGCTATGCTTGTCGTAAAAGGCGACTAACGGGATCGGGTGGTCAGGCTCGCTGACTTGGTTGATGCATGTCATCGATCCCAATTGCATTGATCGATGCTCATCATATTAATCACTGAATTGTCTGGTCCAGACTCGATTATCTACAGACCGCCGTCATATAGCTGGAATATTGCTGAGTGCGGCGTTAAACAACAAACAAACAAAAACAAAACAAGCAAGAGACAGACTGAATCAACTCGTGTGCGCCTGTGTATCAGGCTCAAATCAATCCCTTCACTCGAGAGTGCTTTTACCCTAGTCTCAAATCACTAGCCACCACTAGGCCCAAATCACTCACTCAAGGCTCGACCGTCTTCTTACCTGATTGTTCACGAAGCAGATTGCTTTGGGGGTACACGAATAGCCATCGTAATTATATGAACGGATCATTGAAAATCACTGATGTCTCCAGGTGTTCGCTTATAAGGTAAATCTTTGCCTCAGATGAATATAGAAAGTTATGCCAAAACCGTAAGCTCGTAGAATTCTTGTCTGCAGGCGAGAGGGGGCTCGGTTGGGCGCCGCGATTCGCTGTGCAGAGTTGCGTCCCTTGGACACGCCAGAACCCTATGATTGTGGGTTCGAATCCTGATTCGCCCAAATTATGTTTCTAGGTTTGTCAGCACCATACCCGTGCTCGTGGGTTTCACCGAAGTGGTAAACGTCTGAGACCTGCATCACTCTGGGCTTGCCTCCCACATTAAGATGACACGCCACGATATAACTGGAATTATGTTAAAAGCGGCGTTAAACCCAACTCACCACTCTGCAAGCTGGGACCTTGTCAATATCCGAAGTGTAATATGTATGTACATGTTGGACGGCTAAACAAAGAGTATTGATATCTGGAACTGTTTCACCACACGAAGTACACATTTATGAACCCAATTATGCACACGGAGTTATTTCATTTATTAAAGTTTGCCTGTGTTTGTTTGAAGAGAACTTTAAGTAATACCGACTATTATCAACCCAACAATTACATACTTGCTGGGAAGGTTACCAAAGATCATGAAAACATTTCCACGTAGAAATAAAATATTAAAAAAAGTAATCTATAAATAGTAAAAACACACCAAAAATTATAACTGATTCATCATGTTGTTATACAATTTCGTAGATATAAACAAAACATTTTTCATAAGAAATCTCTGCTGCATACACAGTCCTTTGTTCAATTCTGACAGTATCATAAGCATGTGTTTATGAATCATTATGAAAAAGGTCACATCAGTCCAAATTAATCGAGGTATTTTTTATTCATGTGTCATCAAGCAGTACGCGCAACTCACAACACCAACTACATAGGTTACCAATAAATTTATACATTCAGGCATTTTAGAACATACAACCGAACGTGGACATTTGAAATATTCTCTTTAAAAAAGTAGACGATCAGTATACATAAGTGTTAACAACAAATATTAGAGCAAAGATGTGTTGACGAGAAACATCCTACATGTTTGTAAGAAGGTTTATGTCTGTAAAACCTGAAACTGAACACACTCACGTAGTAGCACCACACCACACTTTCAAGAGTGAGTGAGTGATTGAGTATGGTTTTACGCCGCTTTTAGCAATATTCCAGCAATATCACGGCGGGGGACACCAGAAATGGGCTTCACACATTGTACCCATGTCGGGAATCGAACCCGGGTCTTCGGCGTGTGACGAGCGAACGCTTTAACCACTCGGCTACCCGACCGCCCCCACACTTTCAAGAAAGGACGATTAATTTCTGTGGAACATTATTTGTGTCAATCTTACTGATCTTGTTTATCATACGGTTTACAGTTACCTGTTTTCATTCACGCAGCGTGCAGTTGCCAATACGTTCAATGTTTTACAGTCTGTGATTAGCAGACCATGGAATAGGTACCAACAAACCCAACCCCCATTCAGGATGTACCAGGTCAACGACAAGATTGCAGGATGGATTGATCCGAAACCAGGCTTTAAGAAATCGAGCTCAAAGGCGAATCAAATTTGCTGCAGGCTTTTGGAGTACGAGTAACGGGTCCGACGATTAGAAATCGTCTACATTCAGCTCATCTCCATGCTAGACGGCAAAGTGTTTTGCCGCCCCTTACACGACGATTATATTACCAAAAGACATCAATGGTGTACAACGTCGAAACTGGGGTAATCGTCGCTGGTCTCATGTTTTATGTTTTCAAATGAGTCCCGATTCACTTTGCACTTCCTTGATGGGCATGGTCATGTCTGGCGACGTCGAAATGAACGTCAAGTCAACGTCAACTTGAATTCGCATGACAAAAAGGAGAAAGACAGACTCCCTCAAATCACCTTTGGAAGACTCATTCGCAGCATGCCTCTTCGAGTGGATGAATGTTGGTGGTATTACGCACGACTGATTCAAAAACGTCAACTTTGACATTTCCAATCGTACACCTGTCGTCCTTCAGGATCGCTGGCGGTCATAACATCTACTGTCATTCCTCCTTACCGGTTGTTAAGTGTTCCCAATTCCTTCATTATTGCCATGCAACTATCACGAGAAACTAATATCTCTTACTATTTTGGAAAGTTTACGTTATTTCCGAGTATCCCTTTCTTTTTTAGAGTATAGTGAGTGGAGTCAATTTTGCCTACGAGGGTGGTGTGCCATGACCATTGGGGGAGTGCTCTCAGCCTTGACTCAATACACTCTAGAGTGATTCCAACCGGTCGGGTCTGATCTCAGTCTTGGTCAAAGTCAGTCGAGAGTGATCTTGTCCTAGGCCCAAGTGACTTGAGACTGATCTCAGCCTAGGTCCAAGTCACTAGAGACTGATCTCAGCCTAGGTCCAAGCAAGCCAAGAGTGATATACACATATTTATTTTTTAAAGAGTAAACAATAGTCTGAATCAGGTCGAATGTCCTGCATACTCATTATTGACATACAGTAGTCTTTCTTCTGTCTCAAGAATCAACACTCGCTATTGTAGACTAACAATGACGAAGCCAGGTCTTTTTGAAACTATATATAAATCAGACTTGAGCACAATCAATATTGCATGCATTTCGCGTGGTAGTGTTTCGTCACAAGACTTTTCCCGGGGTAAACGGTGAGGTGAAATGGGGTTTAACGTCGCGTCCAAGATTATTGCACTTATATAGCGACGTGCATGCACGTGTATGTGTGTGTGTGTGTGTGTGTGTAGCTGCTTGTACTAGTCCGGACTGATGCCGATTTATAGTGCTAGCACACTGAGGTACCATGCCACAGTTTAACGTGAATACCTCACTCAGGCACAGTATAGTGACTCCGAGCCGACAAGTCCTTGTCTTAGCCCCTTAATGCCGAGCGCCAGACAGGGTAACAACAAGTACCATATTTTAACGTCTTTTGCTGTGACGCGGCTGGGGATCGAACCCCGGACCTTCCGCTCTCCGGGCGGACGCTCTACCATTAGACCACGGAGGCGGTCCCCCGGGGTATACATGCAGCTAATGCACTTATTCATACGTTGAATGAGTGGGATAATTTTTTAGTCTCAGCTTGCTACTTCCAGATAAATGTCAGCTGACTGATATAATTTGTTGTATATTGATCTCACCTGACTTAAA